CACACACACAAACTCACATTCACACACACTCACACACACAAACTCACATTCGCACACACTCACACACACAAACTCACATTCACACTCAATCACACACACAAACTCACATTCGCACACACTCACACACACAAACTCACATTCACACACACTCACACACACACAAACTCACATTCGCACACACTCACACACACAAACTCACATTCACACTCAATCACACACACAAACTCACATTCGCACACACTCACACACACAAACTCACATTCACACACACTCACACACACAAACTCACATTCGCACACACTCATACACACAAACTCACATTCACACTCAATCACACACACAAACTCACATTCGCACACACTCACACACACAAACTCACATTCACACACACTCACACACACAAACTCACATTCGCACACACTCACACACACAAACTCACATTCACACTCAATCACACACACAAACTCACATTCGCACACTCACACACACAAACTCACATTCACACACACTCACACACACAAACTCACATTCGCACACTCACACACAAACTTACACTCACACACACAAACTTACATTCGCACACACTCAATCACACACACAAACTCACATTCACACACACTCACACACACAAACTCACATTCGCACACTCACACACACAAACTCACATTCGCACACTCACACACACAAACTCACATTCGCACACTCACACACACAAACTCACATTCGCACACTCACACACACAAACTCACATTCGCACACTCACACACACAAACTTACACTCACACACACACACAAACTCACATTCGCACACTCACACACACAAACTCACATTCGCACACTCACACACACAAACTCACATTCGCACACTCACACACACAAACTCACATTCGCACACTCACACACACAAACTCACATTCGCACACTCACACACACAAACTTACACTCACACACACACACAAACTCACATTCGCACACACTCACTCACACACACAAACTCACATTCGCACACTCACACACACAAACTCACATTCACACACACTCACACACACAAACTCACATTCGCACACTCACACACACAAACTCACATTCGCACACTCACACACACAAACTCACATTCGCACACTCACACACACAAACTCACATTCGCACACTCACACACACAAACTCACATTCGCACACTCACACACACAAACTTACACTCACTCACACACACAAACTCACATTCGCACACACTCACTCACACACACAAACTCACATTCGCACACACTCACTCACACACACAAACTCAAATTCGCACACTCACTCAAACACACACACACACACTCTCTCTCTCTCTCACACACACACACTGAGGCATCATTTCTGCCAGTTGCTTATAGTGTGTTGGTCACAACTGTGCTTTTGACTGCTAGGACACACACACACACACAAATACTTTTTGTATAATTTAGTTTTAGTTTATAATGTTTTGTTCATGTCTCTGGTGTGATCTGTGTGGAGACGTCATGCTCCCGCTCGCAGAACTCTACAATAATCAATAATCATATCCTCCACTGGAGGCGAAACACTCATATAATCATCTCGGGTGAACAGAGTCTGGCGTAAGGACAACACACACACACACACACCAGTGAAGACTCATGGGGTCAAAGGTCACGCTGGAGCTCAGTCACACTGTGCGATGCCGAGAGTACATTCACACTTAATATTGAGCTCAGGGTTATTATAAAGTTATAATGTAATATACAACACGCATAACCTAAAACCATATAAAAATAATTCTACACACACACACGAGGGGTCAAACAGGAAATAATTACATGCAAGTTGTGAATATATAAATGTAAATCTGAATATATAGATCCAAATCTATATTCATAAGCCTAAATATATGAATGTGATTTTTGTGAGTGTTTTATATCACAACACTATTAGGCCACAGTACTGAGGGGCTAATGACGGCTAAGCGTGTCTGAGGGACAGCGTTCGCAGCGACACACACGCCGGCCGCGAGTAAAGCACAGCCACAGAGCAGATTACTGAAACCTCAACTTTATTTCACTCATACAAAATCAAGACGGTTAAAAGCCAACGTGTCGCTGTACACATGAGACGAGAGCACGACTCTCAGCAAACATTAAAAGAGTCTAAAACATGTAAAACAAGGGGAATCATCTATACATGTGCATCGTCCCGGGGTGTGTGTGTGTGTGTGTGTGTGGCTTTAAAACGCTGGGGACAGGAAAGCATGAGGAGCTGTGTGTCTCTGAGTGACGGTTCGACAGTGGAATCGATGGAGGAAAGAAGCTTTAATAGTAAAACTAGCTTAAAAAGACAAAACCAGAAACAGAATACGTGACAAAAGCAAAAGAACAGAACGATCCGCATCCCTTCCAGACGCGGCGGGGCTCGAGCGCACGGCCGTCCCGGAGCCGTGTGTGTGTGTGAGACACACACCGGGCCGAAGCGGAGCCGCACGGACAGAGGAAGCTAGCAGAACTGTTCCTGGACAATAAAACAAGAGCTTAAAAGAAATTAAAACAGCTAGTGTGTGTTGGCGTCTCTACGAGTCGTAGTCCTCGTCGTCGCCGTCCTCGGTGTGGTTCTGGAGCGGCTCCGGAGCCGGCGCCGGCGGGAACACCCCCATGAGAGACGGGTGCGGGGAGAACACCGACAGCGGCCCCTGCTGGGAGCCCGCGGGGACAGCCTGCGCCGGCGGGGCCTCCACGCTGCACACACACACACACACTATAACCCTCTGCTGTGCTTTTAGATGTGCAAACATATCACATATCGTGCCTTTGAATTTGTTCAGTTAAAACATGAAAATGGTTGGAAAAAATATATAATGTAATAAATAAAATATGGCATTGTTTAATAATTATTTGCATGGTTTAATATTAATATACCTGTGGTAGAAGGAGGCAGGCTGTGTGTTTGTGCTGGTCTGAGACCTGTCCTCGTCCTCGTCTCCTTCCGTCTCACTGTCCTCCGAATCATCCTGCACACACACACACACACACACAATTGAAAATCTAAGTGTTTGACAGTAACAGCAAACACATCTTTCTATTGCTTTGTCCTTGTCGGTTGAACACAAATAATATACAGCAACACGATTCATTATGGACAGGCTCATAAATCATAAACACTCACAAAAAAAGCTGAATACGTTACTTCAGTGGCGTCTAGTCAAGATAGCACACATAAATACTGGAAAATAACATTACTGGAAATAACAATAAAAATATTGAAAATAACACATAAATACTGGAACATATTAGTTGCATCAGTCACATTTTATAATTACATTCAGAAATAGATGTAAAATAAATAAAACAAAACATTGTAAACACTTTAGTTCCCGTCACGCCGCAACAAATGCTTTGAAAATTAATGCTATTCAAAACAGAAAAAGAATGAAAAATAAGTGTAGAACAAAACTTTTTATAAACAAGATTGATTAAAAAACAAGCCAAAAAAAGCTAAACTCAAATATGCTTTACAAAATAACTTTCCTCATGTTAATCGCATTATACCCTGAACAGCATTATAAACGCACCACTTCTGCCCCCGTTTCTCATGAGCTGAACTCAAAGATCTAAGACTTCTTCTATGTACACAAAAGGTCTATTTCTGTCAAATATTGTCCACAGATCTGTCTAAATCTGTGTTAGTGAGCACTTCTCCTGTGCCGAGATCATCCGTCCTCCTCACAGGTGTGGCGTATCAAGACACAGCAGGATTATGCACAGGTGTGCCTTAGGCTGGCCACAATAAAAGGCAACTCTAAAATGTGCAGGAAAGAAACGTGACTTATATAACTCCTAGATGACTAGACGTTGGATCTGAGTGTGATGTAATTAAGCAGTGCATTGTGGGTAGAGCGTCTCCTGACGTCAGAAGTGGTTTACCTCTTGCTCTGATTCTGTGCCTGAGAGTTTCTTGTCTTTGCCCTTCGCTCCTGCTCCCCCGTTCTTGCGGCCCGAGCCGATCTTACGCCCTCTGAGAGACAGAAAACACCAACACACACTATATCATAATGATCCATTGGTTAACATCAGTTATAGTGAACAAACAATACTTCCACAGCATTTAGTAATATCGGTGCATGTGAATCTCAACATTTCCTAACACATCATTAAACTCAAAAGTGGTTCACATTAGTTACTGCACTGTGAACTAACACAAACATGAACATTAACTAAGATTAATAAATGCTGTAAAAATATATTGCTCATTCCTAGTTCATGTTAACTAAAGTAGTTAACTAATGTCAACTAATGAACTTTATTGTAAAGTGTTAGCATTTTGTTTTTCATAGCTAGTCATATAAACCATGTTGAAACTTTTTACTGAATACATTTACAACTTCACAACTTATTATAATGCGAAAGTATGGTGATTAAAATAAAATAAAAATAATTATTAATAAACTATGCCATGAAATGTGTCCCGGTTCATTCATTATTGACAAATATGCTTCACATTAAGTTTATTAGGCATTTATTTATTTTATTGGGGGGTTTTTTTTAAGCATAAACTCAATTAATTGTTTTATTTTTTTTAAACAAGACTTCGGCCTACTAAAGTAATTTTGCTTCAAGTAAATGTATAGTGATTTAAGAATGTATTTGACTGGAAAACACCGAGCAAGAAAATAGTTGTTTATGTCATGTTTATGTCGTATTTAAAGTAGATGTGTGTTAGTGAAAGTTACTTTTAAAAAGTAATGCGTTACAATATTGCGTTACTCCCTAAAAAGTAACTAATTCTATTACTTAGTTACTTTTTAAGGAATGTAATACGTTGTGTTATTTTTCTCACCTTGACTTGCTTGTTTTCTTTTTAATAACAAAAAACTTCTGTTTTTGGAAGAATACGACGCAGGAGAAGAAAGTTACAAGTAATGGAGAAAATTATAAATTATTAATAAAATCGGACCCGTTTAAATCATTATTGACAAATACGTGTCACATTACGTTTATTCGTTTGCTCATGTTGAAAATTATATATGAAATTGAAACAAATTTTATTTTTGCATAAGTGAAGTCTCCACCTATACAGCGCTTTAACAATATAGAGTTTCACAGCAGCTTTACAGTGATAACAGGAGATTAAAGTAACCGAGATTGTTTAGGCTTTACAGCAGCTCTAGAATAAAGTTATTGTCCAGATAAAGTTAGTTATGATTGATTCACTTCCGTTGTAAAGATCATTAATTATTAACTTAGCAGCCGCTAACACGACACCGCTCTAACAGAGAGTGTTCGAGAACGCAAACCTTTAAACAGGTTACAAAAATAATAATGTGAAAAACATAATCTCCGTGCAAACTTCAAACACGCGAATCTGCGGAAATACAGAATGTGCCACTTCCGCGTGTGCATGTGAACCGGAACGAATGAGCGCTGTGTTGCCGAGCAGGTGTGTGTGTGTGTGTGTGTGTCTGACCTGCGCGGGATCTTCTCCGCGGTGTCCGTGTGGTTCTCGTCTCCGTCTCCCTGCATATCCGGCACCGACGCCACCAGATCCTTCAGGAAGTCAAACTGCTGCTCCAGCTCGATGCACTGCTTTCTGCACACACACACACACACACGCAGGCGTTGGCAAATGAAGTGCGTGCTCGACACACAGCAGTCATGTGATGTGCGTGACGTACAGGTGTGATGTGGTCATGGTTTTGGCATTGCGTGACTGGGTGACGTGACAGGCTTTCGTCAGGAGAGAGTCCAGGAACAGCTCGAGAGCGCGAGCTCGCCTCAGTCAAGGAAAGGGTTCGTATCAGCACACACACAAACAACCGAACCGGCACAGTTCTGCACAAACATCAGGTTTCAGGAATTACGTTTCATTTACTTGGTCTATGATTTAACGCCATATCATCAGCAACGGCTATTAATAAATAATAATTACAATATCATTTCAATACATCGTTTACAATTTAACAATCATCCAAAAAAAAAAAAATCAATATACAAATACATGTAGGCCTATAAACAATTACAACAATAGTAGTAATAACAATTATATAAAATATATTTCAATTTAATTTATGATAAAATCATAAAATTATTACAGGAGCAACCTTTTTAAAAATGTCAATTTATATATTAATAATTTAAAAATGAATGATATATCAACAAACCCCTCAGTAAAAACCTACAGAATATAGATATGAATAAAACTGTAAATTTTGGTGAAAGTAAGTTTTACTGAATTAGATATTTTTTTATTTGAACAGGCTTCAAAAGATATTTATAGCAATTGAAACCTTAAGATGCAAATGAATAAAGTGCAATAAAATAAACACTTAAATGTGCATTTTGGATGTTTAGCGCAAATATGATGTGATCAAATAACAATAAAACAGATCAGATTTCTGCACTGCCCAAAAAAGAATAAAGAAAACAATCATTTTAGGAATAAAATATTATATAATCAGGCAAATGATATATAGACAAATCCCTCTGTAAAAACCTTAAGAATATAAAAAGGAATAAAACAACATTGATAAAATCAACAGAAGGAAAAACTCATTTTTTCCATGTTTTTAGGAATAAAATGTTATAAAAATCAGGTTGAATGATATACGAACAAACCCCTCGGTAAAAACCTTCAGAATATAGATATGAATAAAACTGTAAATTTTGGTGTATATAAGTGTTACTGAAGTGGAGAAAAAACTCATTTATTGATATTGAAATCGAAGACAATTGTTTTTATATTACGACTTTTCTGAATATGCTAATTAAACAAGTAAACGTAATCTAATTTGCAAACATTCCAGAACATAAATCTGAACATTGGATAAAGGTTTAAAATGCGTGTATGATTTTGTTGACCGAGTTAAAGGTTTTTACAGAGGGGTTTTGGACTTCTCAGAAGAAAAACACATTTTCTCCATGTTTTTAGGAATGAAATGTTATAAAAATCAGGTTGAATGATATATGAACAAACCCCTCAGTAAAAACCTCCAGAATATAGATATGAACAAAACTGTAAATTTTGTTGTATATGACGGTTACAGAAGTGGAGAAAAAAACTCATCTTTAAAGATATTGAATGATGCAAAAAGAGCAAATGCAACAGAAGAAATGTGTTTTTTGGATGTTATTTTTTCAACTATTAAATTTATAAGTCCAAACAAACATTATGTGTGTTCACGTAGAGTCTTGGCTTAATTAAAGCACATGTGAAGATGTGGCGGTGAAAGGATACAGATGATGACAGGAACTGCAGCGGCCACTTTTCCGATTTCTTCATCCGTCTGCATGATCTTCTTAATCCTGGCCTGCAACACAAAACACACAAACACACTCCAGACCTGCCCTTCTACAGTCAACACACACACACACACACACACACACACACACACACTCCAGACCTGCCCTTCTACAGTCATCAGGGAAACATCATCTCCGCATGAGAAGTGAAACATGTAAGCCTGAGACCAGTCATGCATGAGATGCAAATAACACTGTCTTCATTCAGATGTCAACAAAAGCACATGTTTGAGTTCATCTGTCACACTCTCACAAAACAACAACAACCAGTCCAGAACTCAGTCTGACTGACTCAAGTGTGAACGCAGTGTAATCCGGATCAGCTGAATCAGACTTAATACATATATTTCCACACTAGCTAGGATCTTCAGAACACTTTTAAAGCCTGATAAACACACCAGACTGGATCAAGAGCACCACACACACACACACACACACACACACTGGAGGAGAAAGAGGGAGGTTAGCTAGCATGCATGCTAACCTCTCTGAAGCTCACATCTTTACAATAAACCTCACTGAGAGAATCGGTTTGAGTACATTTTCCCCAATACACTCCCCAACATCATAACCTGATCGATTGCATTAGATTAAACCAGATTAAAGCGGATTAAAACCAGACACTGTCGTTTTAGCGAGCTAGCGGCTAACCGGACTGAAAGCGTTTTTCTTTTCTCGTATTCCCTCAATAAACGCGTACAGTCTCTATTAAATGTCTTTAAACTCGCGTGTGTGTGTCGGGTGTGTGTGTTGTGTCTCACCGGAGGGAATCTGGCGTTATATTTCTTCTTTTTGCTCGGCATCTCTGCGCAGAAACGGCCCGGCAGCGGCTCTGGCTCGGTTCCGTCAGTCTGTGGCCAAACTCAAGGGATATGAAGGATAAACTCGTTAGATTCGCGCAGATCCGTCGCTAAAGCGATTAAAGCACCATCACTGATCGCCGTCCGTGCGTTTCTGCGATTTTTATCGTCATTTTACGGTGGATTGTTTCCGTGATTTCCGGCTGCACGAGTTCTCGCTTCTTTACGGTTCGTTTTTTTGTGCTTCCGGGGTGTTTTAAATAAAGTTCCGAAGTCGAGGTGGAAACCGAAACGACTTTAAAATAAAATTATATGAGATGATATAGATAGAGGTATATAGATTAAGACAGTTTTCAATTATAGTTGATTTATTATTGTTTTTCTTCTACACCAGCGCGCCATTACAGTTGGTGGCGGAAATGCGCTAACAGAAAATACCAACAAAGGAGAAGAAGAAGAAGACCAAGCGGAAGCCGGAAGTGTTGAGGCGGAAAGCGGGCGAGAGCCGCAGTGACTCAGCAGAGTTTTGCTAGAAAAACACACTACAGAGTGAGAATTTTACACTTTTAATACATTTAATATGGCAAAGAACATATTAAAAATGATGATACTGGGGTTTGCGATTAAATATGCGATTTTGTATCATGCCTGCTGATGAACAGTGAAGATCTGATGATACAGACGCAAAAAACACCAACAAAAACATCTTTCGAGAACGTTCTGCCTAACGCTCCCTATACATTATCAGTTCTGAATGTTTTCATAAAGTTCACAACGTTTTTTTTTTGGTTATGTGAACGTTAGAGGAAACATTAGAGGAAAGTTCAATTGTATCATTATGGGAATGTTAACGTTACTTTTGAACGTTCTGAAACAAGTACAATTTTAAAACATTTGATGAACGTCCAACTAAAATGTTTCAGAAAAACCTTCCATGAACGATGTAGCTGCTATAAATAACATTTTTTGTGCTAATGTTTTGAAACCGTTATTAAAGACTAGTGGCCGTGTACATAAATTGCTTAGACTAGTCTTACAAGTTATACATCGACTTGTTTTCTTTAAACCTTTTATCCAGTTACATAAAGTAGATTAGTCTAACTTAAATCCAAAAAATAAGACAAATTACCCCCTTATTAACTGCTAGTAGGTCAGACTAGTTCTTAAAACACAGTGTTAAAGACTAATTTTATGCAACTGACCCCATATAACTTTTAAACGTTCTAACATTGCCAGAACGTTAGTCATAGTTCAGAGAATGTTCATCTGACATGATTTAAAGGCGCAGTAAGTGATTTCTGAGAAACACAACGAGCAGCACAACACACTGGAGCCAATCAGCAGTCAGGGGCGTGTCCACTCGTTAGGGGGAGGGGCCTGTGTTGCATAGCGTGAGTTTGGGGGCGGAGCTATAGAGTTACATTCAAGCTATTTTAAGGCATGAAGACATTTTATAATGGCATAAAAATGTTTAAATATGTATGTTTGGTGATTTTAAGGGATATAATTATTGACTAAGGGGGTCTTAAAGGGATAGTTCACTTTGAAATTAATTTTTGATATGTTTTAGCTTTCCTCAAGGGCATCCAAGATGTAGGTGTCTTTGTGTCCGCAGTATTTTCAATTTTGATATTTTTAGGTCAAAGCGTTCTTGTCTGTCAGTCATATAATGCAGGTCTATGGTCACCACCTCAAAGAGCAGCACAGAGAAGTCCAAATTAAACATGATTTAATGACTCGTTAATGTAAGTACACATTGATGCGCAGACCGAAGCGCCCGCGCCATCAGATCACTTGGACGTGGCTGTGTTTACAAGAGGTAAAGACGATATAAATACTGTTCGTTTTCTCACACAAACCGCTCGTTTCGTGTCTTAGGCCATCAATGTGTGCTTACATTTACGAGTCATTAAATCATGTTTAATTTGGACTTCTCTGTGCATGCTCTTTGAGGTGGTGACCATAGACCTGCATTATATGACTGACAGACAAGAACGCTTTGACCTAAAAATATCAAAATTGAAAATACTGCGGAAACAAAGACACCTACATCTTGGATGCCCTCGAGGTAAGCTAAAACATACCAAAAATTAATTTCAAAGTGAACCATCCCTTTAATAATAAAATTTTCATAACTTAAAAGGTAACATTAAAAAAACGTTCTTAGGAACATTGACACAAAACCAGACTGAGAAACATCGTACACATTTAATTGAAACACCGATACTTGGGTTTGTGAGTGAGTGAGTGAGTGGAGACGGGGCTAATTTGCATATTCATAGAACCGCGTATACTAAATGAGGCAAGGGTGTCGAGTTACATTCAAGCTATTTTAAGGCATGAAGACATTTTATCAACAAAAAAAAAATGTTAAAATGTGTATTTTGGTGATTTTAAGGGATAAAATTGACTACAGGCGGACTTAATAATAACGTTTTCATAACTTAAAGGTAACGTTAGCAAAACATTCTTAGGAACATTGACACAAAACCAGACAGAGAAACATTGTACAGGTTGAATAGAACAGTGGAGGCAGGGCTAATTTGCATCTCATTTGCATATTCATAGAACCGCGTATACTAAATGAGGCAAGGGTGTCGAGTTACATTCAAGCTATTTTAAGGCATGAAGACATTTTATCAGGACAAAAACATTTAAATATGTCATTTTGGTGATCAAAGATGACTTTAAACGGATAAAATAGATTACAAGGGGACTTAATTATAACGTTTTCATTGTTTGGACAGTATGGCGGAGGACGAGGCCGGTCGCTCCGAGCAACCCTCCGCGGAGGATTACGCGGCCGAGGCCATGGCCGCCGACATGGACCCCTGGATCATCTTCGACGCGCGCAAGACGCCCCGCGCGGAGTTCAGCGGCTGGCTAGAGTCGAACCGGCCGTCGCAGGTGAGCCGCTACGCAGCCGGCGAGGGCGATCGGCCGGTGGGATGGATCGCGGTCCGCGGCCCGCACTACTGCGAGGAGACCGGAGACGTGGACGGGCTTCAGGACAGCTGGGACACGCTGCTAGCCAGCGGGCGTAGCGTCACCTACCACACCATACGGGAGCTAGCGCTAAACCACAGCGTCCTGTACGGGAAGTGGCTAATGCACCTGGACACGGGCTTCAAGGTGGACCGCGCCTGGGAGAGCATCGCTAGAGCCACGCTGGACGGCAGGATCGACTCCGCTAAGGCTAGCCCGCGCAACCCGCGCTCCGACTCCAGGCACGTCATCTGCGTCTACAACCAGAACTTCACGGACGAGGAGCAGGTGATGCGTTTGGACGCCAATATCCGCGCGGCCGGCGTCAAGTGCGTGCTTAACTACAAGCCCGACGTCTACACGTATCTGGGCATCTACCGCAACAACCGCTGGAAGATCTGCCCCACCATCTACGAGAGCATGTTCGACCTGGAGAGCGTCCCCCGCCGGTCGCACGTCATCGACAAGGTCACCAACCTGGAGCTCACCTGACCAGACGAGGTCACCTGACCAGACGAGGTCACCAACCTGGAGCTCACCTGACCAGACGAGGTCACCTACCTGGAGCTCACCTGACCAGACACACGCTTGTTTTGTAGAAACGTTGCCGATTTCTGTTTCGTTACGTTGGAAATGACAATGATAATGATGCCAAAAGGGCTTTGAGTTGCGTTTTTTCCTTTTAAAAATTAATTTTTTGTATTCAACGTTCGTTCGGTTCATTTGTTCTTGTGCCAAATAAACAACATTTTCAGTTGTGTCTCTCAGTGAAGTGTCTCTCAAGTAACGCACAGTTGTTTGGCTTTATTACAGCTCGAGTGAAAGTACAACAGCATACTTTAGTTTGTAAAATTTAAGTTGAAAACTTAAACTAAATGAGATTTAGAAAGTATGCCTTGGCAATTAACTAGAGCTGCACGATTAATGCTTAAAAGATTCATTGAATCATTCATTCGAGCGATTGATTTAAAAAAGTGTTGATTCATCCAGAAATTAAACAAGTGAACTCTTTGAGTGAGTCGTTGAATCATTCATTTAAGAGATTTGTTCAAAAAGCACTGATTCATCCAGTAATGAAACAAGTGAACTCTTTGGGTGAGTCATTGAATCATTCATTCAAGAGATCTGTTCAAAAACACTGATTCATCCAGTAATGAAATGGGTAAAGTTCTTATGAGTCACTGAATCATTCATTCAAGCAATTCATTTAAAAAAGCGCTGAATCATCCAGTAATGAAGCGAGTAAAGTTTTTATGAGTCAATGAATCATTCATTCAAGCGATTCATTTAAAAAAAAGCGCTGATTCGTCCAGAAATGAAACACAGTTGTTTGCCATTGAATCATTCATTCAAGAGATTTGTTCAAAAATACTGATTCATCCAGTAATGAAACGAGTAAATTTTTTATGAGTCACTGAATCATTCATTCAATTGATTCATTTTAAAAACACTGATTCATCCAGTAATGTAATGAGTAAAGTTTTTATGAGTCATTGAATTATTCATTCAAGCGATTCATTTAAAAAAGCGCTGATTCATCTAGAAATTAAACAAGTGAACTCTTTGAGTGAGTCATTGAATCATTCATTCAAGAGATTTGTTCAAAAACACTGATTCATCCAGAAATGAAACAAGTGAACTCTTTGAGTGAGTCATTGAATCATTAATTTAAGAGATCTGTTCAAAAACAGATTCATCCAGTAATGTAACGAGTAAAGTTTTTATGACTCATTGAATCATTCATTCAAGTGATTCATTTAAAAAAGCGCTGATTCATCCAGAAATGAAACAAGTGAACTCTTTGAGTGAGTCATTGAATCATTAATTTAAGAGATCTGTTCAAAAACAGATTCATCCAGTAATGTAACGAGTAAAGTTTTTATGACTCATTGAATCATTCATTCAAGTGATTCATTTAAAAAAGCGCTGATTCATCCAGAAATGAAACAAGTGAACTCTTTGAGTGAGTCATTGAATCATTAATTTAAGAGATCTGTTCAAAAACAGATTCATCCAGTAATGTAACGAGTAAAGTTTATGACTCATTGAATCATTCATTCAAGTGATTCATTTAAAAAAGCGCTGATTCATCCAGAAATTAAACAAGTGAACTCTGAGTGAGTCATTGAATCATTCATTCAAGAGATTTGTTCAAAAACACTGATTCATCCAGTAATGTAACGAGTAAAGTTCTTATGAATCACTGAATCATTCATTTTAAAAAACACTGATTCATCCAGTAATGAAACGAGTAAGGTTTTTATGAGTCATTGAATCATTCATTCAAGCAATTCATTTAAAAAAGCGCTGATTCATCCAGAAATTAAACAAGTGAACTCTTTGAATTATTCATTCAAGAGATTTGTTCGAAAACACTGATTCATCCAGTAATGAAACGAGTCAGTGAATCTTTCCTGAATGACAGTGATTCTGATTGTATTGAACGAGATTCGGTTCGTTCGGTTCGTTCGTTCTCTGTGCCACATAAACAACCAGGACATTTTCAGCCGCGTCTCAGTGAAGTAACGCACAATCTGCATTTCCTGCATTTATTACAGCTCGGGTAACAGTACAAAAGCATACTTTAGTTCGTACACACCTGCAGTAAGGCCACAGAAACAGAATGAAGACGTTACATGAGTGCGTATGGATAATAATACAGCAGATATCGCCAAACAGCTTCAGATCAGAGATATGTACATGTTCACCGGCTGGAAACTGCAGAAGAAGCCGGTCCACCCTCGGCTCACACAGATCACCAGCGCACGCTCGTCACCAGGACTCATTCATATGCTGAAAATAATATCTAATAACTTTAGCTTCATGATGGGAACGGCGGCAAATAAGATAAAATGCCCGTGTTTGGATATCTGTGAACCGATTCTCTTTAGTGCTCTGACATTTAACACATGTTTTTGTTTTAATTTCATTTTAGTGGTTAAATTAAATTTTAGTGCTCAACTGAAAAAAAAAAAATGTAGGGCCTTTTGAAATCCACTTTATTTATTTTTCTCCAAAAATCCAGAGTATTTTTCTTTTTGGAAATGCTGGATTTCGTTTTAATGGTTAAATTAAATTCTAGTAATAAATACAGTTTAACAAAAACGACACGTTTAGGCCCCTATGTGCTTTCCGTTTTAATGTTTCTGGATTACGTTTTAATGGTTTAGTTAAATTTGAAGAATCAAAAATCATGTCTAATTAATGTTATTCATAGAACTTTAACGATTTAAGAATTTATTAACATTTTTACAATAATAAGGTTTTTTATAAAAAGTTTATTTTTTCAGAAAAGCTGTTTTTATGATCCAATACAAAAAAAATATAAAAAATATTGGTAATCAAATTAACAAATAAATCCTTTATAACTGAAAAAGCCAAAAAAAAAAAAAAACAAGGAAGACGATTCTGTGATATTCCCTAAAAGATGATGTGTTATTTAACTGTTAAAGTACATTCTACTGTACAATGATGATGTATTTCGCCTCTCTGAAATCATAGATTCTCTGTAAAGACTTGTAACTGAAGCTCAGTGTTTCTAAGGCTGTGATTGGCTGAACTGCTTGATGAGCCAGTAATTCTGCGCTGTGATTGGATAAAAGCGTCTGACAAATGCATAAATGTAAATCTCAGCCAAAGCGACTTACATTGCATTTCAAGATACACATTTTACATTCTTATCAGTTCTTATGAAATGATGATAAGGCGGTGATTCTGCGCTGTGATTGGCTGAGCTGCTTGATGAGCGTGTAAGTCTGCGCTGTGATTGGCTGAGCTGCTTGATGAGCGTGTAAGTCTGCGCTGTGATTGGCTGAGCTGCTTGATGAGCGTGTAAGTCTGCGCTGTGATTGGCTGAGCTGTTTGATAAGGCTGTAATTCTACGCTGTGATTGGCTGAGCTGTTTGATAAGGCTGTAATTCTACGCTGTGATTGGCTGAGCTGTTTGATAAGGCTGTAAGTCTGCGCTGTGATTGGCTGAGCTGTTTGATAAGGCTGTAATTCTACGCTGTGATTGGCTGAGCTGTTTGATAAGGCTGTAAGTCTGCGCTGTGATTGGCTGAGCTGTTTGATGAGCGTGTAAGTCTGCGCTGTGATTGGCTGAGCTGTTTGATGAGCGTGTAAGTCTGCGCTGTGATTGGCTGAGCTGTTTGATAAGGCAGTAAGTCTGCGCTGTGATTGGCTGAGCTGTTTGATAAGGCTGTAAGTCTGCGCTGTGATTGGCTGAGCTGTTTGATGAGCGTGTAAGTCTGCGCTGTGATTGGCTGAGCTGTTTGATGAGGCAGTAAGTCTGCGCTGTGATTGGCTGAGCTGTTTGATGAGCGTGTAAGTCTGCGCTGTGATTGGCTGAGCTGTTTGATAAGGCAGTAAGTCTGCGCTGTGATTGGCTGAGCTGTTTGATGAGGCAGTAAGTCTGCGCTGTGATTGGCTTAATAAGGCACTGTATTTATAAAGACGAGGTTTATTCTACCTCACTGTACACAAGATACACATCTGATCCAAAACCGCCACCCAATATAATCTGGCATGTGCTAGGAAGGGTTCATCAGAGACGGTGTGTTTCAGGCCCGGGCGTGCGTTGGTCTTCAGAGTGAGTCCTGGACCTCGGCCTGAGCCAGAGTTTTGGGGCGCCAGGTTCAGGTGGGGTGTCCGAAGCCCATGTGGCTGCTGCTGGTGAAGATGGACATGAAGCGGTCGTCCTCGAGGGAGTTCAGCACCTCCAGGTCGTCCAGCACCGCGGACGGGTTCGACCCGCTCTCCAGCATGGGCTCGTTCTGCAGGAGGCTGGCGATGCTGGGCGGGAAGCTCATCCAGGTGGAGCTGTTGGCCCCGGGGTCCTGATCCGGGCCCTCGCCGGCGCCCGCCGAGGTCATGTGACACGCCGGCTTGCCCATCGACTCGCCTCCTAGCATGGCCTGCAATACAGAAATCAGAGGATTCATTTAAAAACACTGATTCATCCAGAAATATAACAAGCTTCTATGAGTGAGTCATTCAATCATTCACTCAAACCATTTTTTTAAATATTTAAAACATTTAAATAAATCGCAGCAATAAAGTAACTACACATTATTTTGTTTAGATGTCTGTTGCATGGGAGAATCATGATCTCTCTTTTATTATTACGATTCACCCAGAATCCTGCAGCTCTACAATAAACTGAAATAAGTTTAAGTCGAAGCACTAAAATCATCAACAGGAAATGAATAATAAATAAAACACTGAAATTAAAATAAAATAAACCTAAATAGCAACATTTAAAGGTGCAGTGTGTGAGTTTTAGCAGCATCTAGTGGTGAGGTTGCGAACTGCACCCAACAGAAGTCACGGTGGCCGACAGGAAGTGATGTCATCGTCTGAGACAGCAGAGAGGAGCCAGTTAAGAAATGAGGTTTCTTTACAAAGATAAATTAAGTAATTAGGTTTACTTAATTATTCAGTAAAACGACGTTATTGTGAATATTATTGTGACTTGTTCATCATTGTGTCAGTGTTTTATTCGCTGACTTCTTATCATGAAGAACAACAGTGACGAAACGCGTGTGTCCGCTCAGGGCCACCGTAGAAACACGTCGGTGTAAGCGGACCCGCGGTGTGTGTAGAGAGAAACGCCTCATTCTAAGCTAATAAAAACATAACGCTTCATTAAGTAAGGTCTTTACACACCACTGAACACACAGTTATGTATATGATACTGCATTTCTGTCACCAGATCCTCCTAAATATCACACACTGCACCTTTAAAAAAATGACCCTAAAATGAACATGTGACTAAAAACAAAGAGCACGCTGACCTGGAAGTCCTCGATGTTGATGTTGTCGACGTCGTTCGCCACCTCGGAGAAGCTGGGGAACTCGGGCAGCTCGTCGTCCACCCTGTAGGCGCCCTGCATGTCCTGGGGGGCCGCACTCGGGGCGCTCGCCGCGCTCAGCGGCTCCGCGGAGATGAAGCCGCCCAGGCTGAAGTCGTGCAGGTCCGACAGGTTGACGGTGGAGAAGACGCTGGGTTGCTGAGTGCTGGTGAAGTTGCTCACTGACACGGCTTTGGGCTGAGAGTCTACGGTCAGGCTCTGCAGGAACTTCCAGGTGTCCCCGACCGACGTCTGCGGCTCCACCTTCAGGGCACTCTGGGCCGGCTGAGCGAAGAGCTGTCCCGGGGCCGGCCCGAAGAACGAGGACGGCAGGGGCTTCATCGCGGGGGCCGCAGACACGCACGCCGACGCTGGAACACAAGCCGAGTCACGGAGGCATTCATTCACAGGGCTCGCACACACACTGCCACATGACATACAGGACTTTCTGGGTTTTCAAGGACTGAGAACTCACTTATCAAACGATATCTTTATTATCTTTCCAATTCTAAAACAGGTAAATCGATAAACAAAAATAAAACAAAATGGTGCAAGTAAAGTGCAGCACGAGCAGTGACTGTGGAAACTTTAGCCAATGACAGGATACTACGATAAAGAAATCGCTTTCCTTATTCAAACTCATCTTTTCCCTCATGAATATATGATTAGCCTTAAGAATGAAAGCTGAATCATATAGTTGGATATTTATGAGCAATATCACACTCATAGCCATGCGAAACGCCTCTATATCTATATCAGACGGACTGCAGCTTCATTTCGAGGGAAAAGATTGTTTTATCGATAAAATTAAACAAAAATATTCACAAAAATGGCTGTTGTCATGGGTTTCCAGGACTTACATTTCAAAAAGTCAAATTCAAGCACTTCGTATGAACCCTGTTTACAGCTGAAATTGAATGTGTCTCATTTTTGATGAAGTTCACATCCGTTATTTTGCCGTTTAGTCACTGTGAAGCTGCTTTGAAACTAGCATTGTCGTATAAATCGCTGTCGATGTAAATAACTGTTTTCAACACTGATCATAATCATAAATGTTTCTTGAGCATCAGATCCTCATATTAGAGTGATTTCTGAAGGATCATGTGACACTGAAGACTGGAGTAATGATGCTGAAAATTCAGCTTTGATCACAGGAATAAATTACACTTTACTGTATATTCACACAGAGAACAGCTGATTTACACTGGAGTAATATTACACTGTTTTACTGTATTTTTAATCAAATAAACACAGCCTTGGTGAGCAGAAAAGACTTTTAAAAACATAAAACTAGCATTGCCAGCAGCCATATCACCCTGTAGCCCAAGACTGGTTGCCCACTGAAGCTAAGCAGGGCTGAGTCTGGTTAGTACCTGGATGGGAGACCTTCTGAGAAAACCAGGTTGCTGCTGGAAGAGGTGTTAGTGAGGCCAGCAGGGGGCGCTCACCCTGTGGTCTGTGTGGGTCCTAACGCCCCAGTATAGTGATGGGGACACTATACTGTCAAAGAGCACCGTCCTTCGGATGAGACGTTAAACCGAGGTCCTGACTCTCTGTGGTCACAAAAAATCCCAGGATGTCTTTCGAAAGAGTAGGGGTGTAACCCCGGCATCCTGGCCAAATTCGCCCATTGGCCTCTGTCCATCATGGCCTCCTAATCATCCCCATATATATATACCAATTGGCTTCATCACTATGTCTCCTCTCCACCAGTAAGCTGGTGTGGTGGGCGTTCTGGCGCAATATGGCTGCCGTCGCATCATCCAGGTGGATGCTGCACACTGGTGGTGGTTGAGGAGATTCCCCCTTCTATGTCAAGCGCTTTGAGTGCCAAGAAAAGCGCTATATAAATGTAATGAATTATTATTATTATTATTAAAACATTTGAACGGCAGTGGATAACTGGTGGATAACTGGAGGATAACTGGAGGATAACTGGTGGATAATTGGTGGATAACTGGAGGATAACTGGTGGATAACTGGTGGATAACTGGTGGATAACTGGTGGATAACTGGTGGATAACTGGTGGATAACTGGTGGATAACCGGTGGATAACCGGTGGATAACCGGAGGATAACCGGTGGATAACTGGAGGACAACTGGTGGATAACTGGTGGATAACTGGTGGATAACTGGAGGATAACTGGAGGATAACCGGTGGATAACCGGAGGATAACCGGTGGATAACTGGAGGACAACTGGTGGATAACTGGTGGATAACTGGAGGACAACTGGTGGATAACTGGTGGATAACTGGTGGATAACTGGTGGATAACTGGAGGATAACTGGTGGATAACTGGTGGATAACTGGTGGATAACTGGAGGATAACTGGAGGATAACCGGTGGATAACTGGAGGATAACTGGTGGATAACTGGAGGACAACTGGTGGATAACCGGTGGATAACTGGAGGATAACTGGTGGATAACTGGAGGATAACTGGTGGATAACTGGAGGATAACTGGAGGATAACTGGAGGATAACTGGTGGATAACTGGAGGACAACTGGTGGATAACCGGTGGATAACTGGAGGATAACTGGAGGATAACTGGTGGATAACTGGAGGACAACTGGAGGATAACTGGTGGATAACTGGAGGATAACCGGAAGATAACCGGTGGATAACTGGAGGATAACTGGTGGATAACTGGTGGATAACTGGTGGATAACTGGTGGATAACCGGTGGATAACTGGAGGATAACTGGTGGATAACTGGAGGATAACTGGAGGATAACTGGTGGATAACTGGAGGACAACTGGTGGATAACCGGTGGATAACTGGTGGATAACTGGAGGACAACTGGTGGATAACCGGAGGATAACTGGAGGATGACTGGTGGATAACTGGTTACCTGCAGTGATACTGGTGGCTGTGGGTTTGGACACGGCTAGGGTTCGTTTCGCTGTACTGAACGGCCGTCTGTCTGTCGGCACGGAGGATCCTGCACATAAAACACACACCTTCACTACAAAACTGACCTCTAACACCTTAAAATGACGTGATCTGACAACACACACCTGAAATCATGCTGCCGAGTTTGAGGTTCTGCAGCATCCCTTCTGTCCGCTTGCGCTTCTCCATCAGCCGGTGCTCGTCTGCTCGTTCACAACCAAAGACAGAACCGACCGACAACATGAGGCGAGGACTTTCACTTCGGCTGAACTACTATTCTGAGGACGTAAATGCCTTACGTAAAACTGTGGAAGCTTGTTTCTGCATTGGAATAACATATTTAAAAAGTAATTGTGACTTTTAATCTCGCAATTCTGATTTTATTTCGTGAAAAGAGATTAATATCTCGCAATTCTGACATTTTTTTCTGATCATTTTTCATAATTGCGAGTTTATCTTTCAATTCTAACTTATTCTTTTTAGAAATTGCGAGATACAAATTCTGACAATTTTTCTCAGTTGCGAGTTTATATCTAGCAATGATGACCTTTTTTCGCAATTGCGAATTTATCTCGTAACTCTGACCATTTTTCGCAATTGTAAGTTTACATCTCGCCATTCTGACCATTTTTCTCAATTGTAAGTTTATAAGAAGATATAATCATTTATAAATAAACCTGCAATTAAAAAGGTAGTTGCAACTTTTTATCTCGCAATTCAGACTTTTTTCTAACTCGCAACTGTGAGAACTGTGAGATAAAAAGTAGAAATGAGCTTTTTTGTTTTGTATTCTGTGGCGTGAACAAGCTTCCACATGAACGAGCACACGTCTCACCCGGGTCGGCGGGCAGGTACTGGAAGTCCATGGGCTCGCTGACCTCGCGGTCTGAGGGCCGGCGGAGCTGCATCTTCACCCGCACCGGCTCCGACAGGTTCGTGTCGTGGTACGGGGGCGTGCGAAACACGATGGCCACCTGACGATGAACATCAGCCTGCGAGAACGAGCCCTTACTCTCCCACGAGTCCCGGAAGAATCGCACCTCGATGTCCTCTGAAGGCAAGAGCACAGTAATGATCTGACTGACAACCCTACACACATCTCTGTACACTGACATAAAGCGGAAATAAACTAAACGAAAATTAGAAAAGTTGTATCTGGAATGACTAAAACTAACATTTAAATAAAGTGTTTTTTAATATAGACATTTAAAAAATAAAGATGAAAAAAATATATAAAAATGAAACTATGCAAAAGATTTATCAAATTTATAATACCATCTCAGTGATACTAAAAACTAAACTAAAAAATGATTTTTGTAACTTGAAATAAAAAACACATTCAACTTATTTTGTTAGTTAGCTAGTTGCCAATGTATCATTTCTACACTGAATAACATTATAAATGCAACACTTTTGTTTGTGCCCCAATTTTTCATGAGCTGAACTCAAAGATCTAAGACTTCTTCTATGTACACAAAAGGTCTATTTCTGTCAAATATTGTCCACAGATCTGTCTAAATCTGTGTTAGTGAGCACTTCTCCTGTGCCGAGATCATCCGTCCTCCTCACAGGTGTGGCGTATCAAGACACAGCATGATTATTGCACAGGTGTGCCTTAGGCTGGCCACAATAAAAGGCAACTCTAAAATGTGCAGGAAAAAAACGTGACTTATATAACTCCTAGATCTTATGGTGGACTAGATTATATTAATGACACTTAAATAACATTATAAATCAATAACCCGCACCTTTCTGCACTTTGTCACACAGTAGGAAGATCTCGTCTCCCCCTCGGCAGCCGCCAGAGTTCCTGTTGACACGACAGATCTTCAGCTCAGCCGTGTTCGGTGCTCCTGAGGAACACACACACACACAGATCAGTGTTTAATAACTTCATCATATTCACACACACACTCAGCGGTGTTCGGCACTCCTGAGGAACAACACACACACACACACATAGATCAGGGGTTAATAACTCCATTTCTGTCAGTACCACTATCTTCAAATACGATTGACAATTAGCATACAGTTTGGATTGGTGGTATGGTTCTGTTCTGGGCCGGCTAGCATAGATAAGAGCAGGGAGAGCAGCAATAACCCCCCTTAGGGTAAACAGAACAGAAACAACATGAATGTATTGCAGATATCATTAATTCAAGATTTTAAAGTACAACATAAATCGAGAATTTAGTTTGATTCAAGGGGAATCAGAATGGCGAATCCTGACTGACGAGAGGAGGAGCTGGGGAGGGAGGAGGGTAATCGGCTCCTGAGAAACGAGAGGAACTGGGGATGGAGGAGGGTAATCGGCTCCTGAGAAACGAGAGGAGCTGGGGATGGAGGAGGGTAATCGGCTCCTGAGAAACGAGAGGAACTGGGGATGGAGAAGGGTAATCGGCTCCTGAGAAACGAGAGGAGCTGGGGATGGAGGAGGGTAATCGGCTCCTGAGAAACGAGAGGAGCTGGGGATGGAGGAGGGTAATCGGCTCCTGAGAAACGAGAGGAACTGGGGATGGAGGAGGGTAATCGGCTCCTGAGAAACGAGAGGAGCTGGGGATGGAGGAGGGTAATCGGCTCCTGAGAAACGAGAGGAGCTGGGGATGGAGGAGGGTAATCGGCTCCTGAGAAACGAGAGGAGCTGGAGAGGGATGAGGGTAATCGGCTCCTGAGAAACGAGAGGAACTGGGGATGGAGGAGGGTAATCGGCTCCTGAGAAACGAGAGGAGCTGGGGATGGAGGAGGGTAATCGGCTCCTGAGAAACGAGAGGAACTGGGGATGGAGGAGGGTAATCGGCTCCTGAGAAACGAGAGGAGCTGGGGATGGAGGAGGGTAATCGGCTCCTGAGAAACGAGAGGAGCTGGGGAGAGAGGAGGGTAATCAGCTCCTGAGAAACGAGAGGAGCTGGGGAGGGAGGAGGGTAATTAGCTCATGAGAAACGAGAGGAGCTGGGGAGGGAGGAGGGTAATCAGCTCCTGAGAAACAAGAGGAGCTGGGGAGGGAGGAGGGTAATCAGCTCCTGAGAAACGAGACGAGCTGAGGAGGGAGGAGGGTAATCAGCTCCTAAGAAACGAGAGGAGCTGAGGATGGTAATTAGCTCGTGAGAAACGAGAGGAGCTGAGGAGGGTAATTAGCTCCTGAGAAACGAGAGGAGCTGAGGAGGGTAATTAGCTCCTGAGAAATGAGAGGAGCTGGGGATGGAGGAGGGTAATCAGCTCCTGAGAAACGAGAGGAGCTGAGGAGGGTAATTAGCTCGTGAGAAACGAGAGGAGCTGAGGAGGGAGGAGGGTAATCAGCTCCTGAGAAACGAGAGGAGCTGAGGAGGGTAATTAGCTTGTGAGAAACGAGAGGAGCTGAGGAGGGAGGAGGGTAATTAGCTCCTGAGAAACGAGAGGGGCTGGGGATGGAGGAGGGTAATTAGCTCCTGAGAAACGAGAGGAGCTGGGGAGGGAGGAGGGTAATTAGCTCCTGAGAAACGAGAGGAGCTGAGGAGGGAGGAGGGTAATCAGCTCCTGAGAAACGAGAGGAGCTGGGGAGGGAGGAGGGTAATCAGCTCCTGAGAAACGAGAGGGGCTAGGGATGGAGGAGGGTAATTAGCTCCTGAGAAACGAGAGGGGCTAGGGATGGAGGAGGGTAATTAGCTCCTGAGAAACGAGAGGAGCTGGGGAGGGAGGAGGGTAATTAGCTCCTGAGAAACGAGAGGAGCTGGGGATGGAGGAGGGTAATCAGCTCCTGAGAAACGAGAGGAGCTGGGGATGGAGGAGGGTAATCAGCTCCTGAGAAACGAGAGGAGCTGGGGATGGAGGAGGGTAATCAGCTCCTGAGAAACGAGAGGAACTGGGGAGGGAGGAGGGTAATCAGCTCCTGAGAAACGAGAGGAGCTGGGGATGGAGGAGGGTAATTAGCTCCTGAGAAACGAGTGGAGCTGGGGAGGGAGGAGGGTAATTAGCTCCTGAGAAACGAGAGGAGCTGGGGATGGAGGAGGGTAATCAGCTCCTGAGAAACGAGAGGAACTGGGGAGGGAGGAGGGTAATCAGCTCCTGAGAAACGAGAGGAGCTGGGGATGGAGGAGGGTAATTAGCTCCTGAGAAACGAGAGGAACTGGGGAGGGAGGAGGGTAATCAGCTCCTGAGAAACGAGTGGAGCTGGGGAGGGAGGAGGGTAATCAGCTCCTGAGAAACGAGTGGAGCTGGGGAGGGAGGAGGGTAATCGGCTCCTGAGAAACGAGAGGAGCTGGGGATGGAGGAGGGTAATCTGCTCCTGAGAAACGAGAGGAGCTGGGGAGGGAGGAGGGTAATCAGCTCCTGAGAAACGAGAGGAGCTGGGGAGGGAGGAGGGTAATCAGCTCCTGAGAAACGAGAGGAGCTGGGCAGGGAGGATGGTAATCAGCTCCTTAGAAACGAGAGGAGCTGGGGATGGAGGAGGGTAATCAGCTCCTGAGAAACGAGAGGAGCTGGGGATGGAGGAGGGTAATCGGCTCCTGAGAAACGAGAGGAGCTGGGGATGGAGGAGGGTAATCAGCTCCTGAGAAACGAGAGGAGCTGGGGAGGGAGGAGGGTAATCAGCTCCTGAGAAACAAGAGGAGCTGGGGATGGAGGAGGGTAATCGGCTCCTGAGAAACGAGAGGAGCTGGGGAGGGAGGAGGGTAATCAGCTCCTGAGAAACGAGAGGAGCTGGGGAGGGAGGAGGGTAATATGACACCACAGGCTCGAGTGGGAACAGTCTAACTCTCTCTCACACACACACACACACTCACTCACTGTTGTCGTAGATGGGCTGGGACACCACAGGCTCGAGTGGGAAGAGTTCCCCGCTGGGTAGAGTGATGGACACCTGGAAACACAGACGCACTGCGTTCAGGTCGTACTCTTCCTCCCAGATCTTCCCCTCAGGAACTACACACAGAAAACACACATTATTCGTCACTCATGATAATCATCATACAAATCATCATATTAGAGTGATTTCTGAAGGATCATGTGACACTGAAGACTGGAGTAATGAGCCTGAAACTCAGGAATAAATTACACTTTACTGTATATTCACACAGAGAACAGCTGATTTACACTGGAGTAATATTACACTGTTTTACTGTATTTTGTTTTATGCAGCTTTGGTGAGCAGAAGAGACTTTCAGAAACAATGTGTGTGTGTGTGTGTGTGTGTGTGTGTGTATCAGTCACTCACTATTAAAGGGATTGTTCTGTGTTTGCAGTCGACATGAAACAGCGTCTCCCACATCCTTCTTCTTCACACACTGAATACCCAGATTCTGGAAACTGAAACACAGAAATGAGTCGGCAGAGCGAGTTAAGAGAGTTAAGAGAGTTAAAGGGACACTTCACCCATTTGCATTAAGAGGTCCATTGTTAGACAACCAGTCATACTATTGAATGGTCGTGCAACATTCTTTCATTTTCCCCTGAGACGAGAGAAATCCACTATTTACCTTTTTCACTTCCTCCTACAATGACGCAAAAATCGTCATTTGATGTCATTGTAGGAGGAAGTGTAAGAGGGGGGGATTTCTGTAAAGACTACAGCACTAGTTCCCACCCTTTCAAACCCGCCCATAGGGGGTTGGACCTAATGCGCTAACAGAGCTATCACAGATCAGTGGGTGGGACTTCACTTGTAGATACTGAAATCAATATCAGCCATCTTGTTTATAAGCTAAGCTAACAAGCGCTGTGGAGATAGGAAGTTACGACAACGACGGAAGAAACTAAACATGATATGGAAGAGGATTTTGAAATTCTGCTGCTCGAATCCGCTGTTCGTGGCTATCTTTACGAGCCGCAGTATAGTGAAGAGCAGCTGAGGCTGATGGAGGAACAGGAGGAGGACGAGGAGCCCGGACGAGCTCGAGCTGAGGCTGATGGAGGAACAGGAGGCGGACGAGGAGCCCGGACGAGCTCGAGCTGAGGCTGATGGAGGAACAGGAGGCGGACGAGGAGCCCGGACTGGCTCGAGCTGAGGCTGATGGAGGAACAGGAGGCGGACGAGGAGCCCGGACTGGCTCGAGCTGAGGCTGATGGAGGAACAGGAGGCGGACGAGGAGCCCGGACTGGCTCGAGCTGGGCGGACTGGAGCGGACGAGGAGCCCGGACTGGCTCGAGCTGGGCGGACTGGAGCGGACGAGGAGCCCGGACTGGCTCGAGCTGGGCGGACTGGAGCGGACGAGGAGCCCGGACTGGCTCGAGCTGGGCGGACTGGAGCGGACGAGGAGCCCGGACTGGCTCGAGGTGAGGCTGATGGAGGAACAGGAGGCGGACGAGGAGCCTGGACTGGCTCGAGCTGGGCGGACTGGAGGCGGACGAGGAGCCGGGACTGGCTCGAGCTGGGCGGACTGGAGCGGACGAGGAGCCCGGGCTGGCTCGAGCTGGGCGGACTGGAGGCGGACGAGGAGCCTGGACTGGCTCGAGCTGAGGCTGATGGAGGAACAGGAGGCGGACGAGGAGCCCGGACTGGCTCGAGCTGAGGCTGATGGAGGAACAGGAGGCGGACGAGGAGCCCGGACTGGCTCGAGCTGGGCGGACTGGAGCGGACGAGGAGCCCGGACTGGCTCGAGCTGGGCGGACTGGAGCGGACGAGGAGCTAGGACTGGCTCGAGCTGGGCGGACTGGAGCGGACGAGGAGCCCGGACTGGCTCGAGCTGGGCGGACTGGAGCGGACGAGGAGCCCGGACTGGCTCGAGCTGAGGCTGATGGAGGAACAGGAGGCGGACGAGGAGCCTGGACTGGCTCGAGCTGGGCGGACTGGAGGCGGACGAGGAGCCGGGACTGGCTCGAGCTGGGCGGACTGGAGCGGACGAGGAGCCCGGGCTGGCTCGAGCTGGGCGGACTGGAGGCGGACGAGGAGCCTGGACGAGCTCGAGCTGAGGCTGATGGAGGAACAGGAGGAGGACGAGGAGCCCGGACTGGCTCGAGCTGGGCGGACTGCTGGTGCCTGTGCTCTCGCTGTACGGACACAGATAGAGTCCGTCTGCTGCAGAGAATTTCAACGATGGCAATTTCTCCTGGACGAAATCTCTGAATCAGACGAGCACACGGACGTTTGTGTTGTGATGTGAACCATCCTAGTTTCGCACCGACTGAACATCCCGGTATCATGCAATAATTCACCATATAGAAAGAAATACAAACGAGGAGTAATTCGCTAGTTTGCCAATGTAACGGGTTCGTTGTTGTGGGAAGAAGGAGGCTGGAACCGGCGAACGTTTAAACATTTTAATAGTAAAATAAACAAATACAAAACAAAAGTAAGCCAGCTGGCCACACACAACAGAAACAAAACATAAATCAGGCCTGTTCCTTTTATGCCTCCGCTCCTCCGTGAGAGATATGAGACCGCTGCATCTCACAGGTGTCATTCATTATCACTCGCGCCGTCCTCTCACGCCCCTCGCCCTCGTCCTGCTCGCCACAGCCAACTAACTAGACATTTTGTGTGAAATGAATTTCAAACTCTTTTGGCAGCTAGCCTTGTAGACGGAAGAGTGATTTCTTTTCTCTGATGTTTGTGCTGTTCTGGATTAGTGGGAGTGGCTTGCGGAGCTGTGCAACGTGGTGCATTTTGGGAGTTGTTGTCTTACATACAAATGCGCCCTAAAGTTATTTTCTGTCTTTTCTCGGTCAAGAGGGCACCAAATTCAAAATTTCTTTTACATTTCGACTACATAT